TGCCCCTCCGGGCCCCCGGGCTCCCCCTTCCGCCCCGCCGCGACCCCCCTTCCTGCCGTCCTCCCTCTCGTTTGGGATCCGAAACCCTTGAACAAAATGGCGAAACCTAATATGGCCGTTCCGGACTGCCTGACGCCCAAATAATCTTCTTCTTTTCTTTTTGTGTGTGTTTGTTTCTTTTTCCCTTTTTTTTTTTTGGTTTTTATTTTCAGACCGAGTGTGTCAGCAGCCAGGACTTTCTCTCTGGGTCCCCTTCCAAAACGCAGCCACCGCCGTCACCAACCTCTACAAAGGTAAAGATCACCCTGCTGCATCGCATAGGGGAAGGGCAGCCTGCGCCGGGTGTGCCCTGCATTCTCGAGTGTATTCTGCTCCGAAGTGCAGCCGCCTGCCTCGGACACCTCGGAACTTGAGAATCCCGGTGCCGTGCTAGCTAGAGCCACCGGAGGCGATTTTGACACCTCCCTCCGCCCCTCGGGGACCTCGGGCAACGTCCGGAGACTATTTTGGCTGTCGTCACTGAGTGGGGGCTGCCGTTGGCGTCCTTGGATGGAGGCCGTTGAGTGTCCTGCAGGGCCCAAGATAGTTACCCCCCTAGTCAGCAGAGAGTGAGCCCGTCCCGAAAGTCAGCCGTGCCGAGGTGGAGAGACCCTGAGCTGGAAGGCCTGCTTTCCTCGGAGCGAAGAGAAAGTTGCTTCTTTGTGCCAGGGCTGGAGGTGCGCCCGACCTCCTGGAGGTCCTAGAGTTAGGCGGTTGAGAGCGTGGCTGTCTGGGGGCATTTGGTGCTTCCACACGGAGACACCTGGGCGTGCGGTTAACGTTCGGCTCCTCTCTAGCAGTTTCATCATATGGTTTCCTTCGGAACTGCCTTATATCTGAGTGTAAGTCGTTGACAGGAAATCTAGTCGGAGTTTGGAATGGATAGGTTTGTGTTTCATGGTGGTGCCTTTTGGAGCCTTCTCCCCCTCTAATGACATGAAAGTATGTGAGGAAATACTCTTGTCCGTTGTGCTCTCGGGAACAGTGGGTTTAGCTTTTGTGCCTTACTGATTTTGAAGATTTGGAAATTTGGGTTGGAGTTTTGGCAAGATTTTTATGGAAAAAGGATTTGAGTTTGACTGTTAATAAAAACGTAATTAAGCTAGGTGCCTTTAAACTTTTAAGAGCTGCTGATGACAGTTAAAGGAATTTTAATTTTGTGCGTTTCAGAAATACCAGCACAGGTTGAAATAGGCCATGATACTGCTTCTTGATTCTCAGATTCTTATTTGTAAGAATGTGCTTACGATGATAGCATTCTGTAGGACAAATGTCCCTTATTGCGAGATTTCTTGAGTAGATGTTACAGTTTTGGGGGCAGTAATTTGAGAACTGTTAACTGACAAATGAATATTAATTTTAGGGAGTGAGGAACTAAGAGTTCAGCCTTACTGAGAAATAGAATCCAAAAAGGGCCCCAGTAGGTAACTTTGATTTTATGTAGCGGAGTTTAAATGTTGACTACTGAAATTGCTTCAGCATCTATTGGTGCTTGAGGGTCTTGAGCATTCTCTTTGGTCTGGCTCTTGGTTTTGTCCAAAAAAGGTAATTTTGAAATAATACTTAAACTCAGTTTTTAAAAACACAGACTTCTTAGAGTATAATTTATGTACAGTAAGATTTTTAAAGTTGTATATCTTGATTTTGGCAAATAAATGCTATTAACAAGTAGAATGCATCTCCCCACCCAGCCCCTGCCAGTCACTGATCTTGCTGTAATATATATAATTTTATCTTCCTTGGTGTGGCAAATAGACCTATACGGTATGTAGTCTTTTGTTTCTGGCTTCTTCCACTTAGCATAATGTTATTAAGATTCGTTCATTAAGCTCACATGCATGTATTACTAGTTCAGAGTCTTTTTATTCTGTTGTGTGGAGGGACCATCATTTATCCTTTCTCTTTTGTTGCAGTTACTTTTTGCTTGAAGAGACAGCAGTACATTTTTAGTGCTTCGTGTGTACCAAACTCTTAGCCTAGGCCCTACGCAAGCACCAGTGTCCCAGCTTTGGCGCTGTCGTGCACTTGTAGAGTGTGGCTCTTGAGAACTAAGCTAGCAGTTGTATTTGGTGTTGACTCTTCAGGTAAGAAATGGGCTCAGAAGTTGATTACTTTATTTGCAAATGCTTATAATTTAGTTCCCTTTGTTTAGGAAATTTAATGAGGAACATTAATTGTATTTTAGATAAGCATCACATGTGGTTTTTGGATTGTTGTAAATGCTGTATTGTGAGTGTGAACTGTTTTGTATTTTGTTTCTGTAAAATGAAGGTCAGCCCTTCTTACCTATTAGGAGTGATAACTGGTTTGTGGAGCTGGATAGTGTAGCATCGTCATACTCTTCCTATTTGATTCAAGGAGAATGTGGATCCTCACTTTTCCTTGTATTCATGGCATGGTCTCTAGAGAACAGGCATACAGCTGTAGGAAGAATTTGTTTAATAAAACCAATAAAAATGGCAAGGTTGTGTCACAAGGTCACGCAGCATTAAGTAGTGGTAAATTTAAACCAGGTTGCTTATAGTTCTGATTTCAATATAATTTAAGGGGAGAAGATGTTTGGGGGATCTTTCAAAGTGGGCAGTTCTCCTGTATTTTGTATAATTAAGCACTTATTTGGCAAGCTAAAAGTGGCTTGTTTTATAGCCTGGGGAGATTGGCACTCCTACCAGCTTCTCCATAACTTCTAAAATGAGCTCATAGGAAGGTCAGAGTTGAGGTTAAAACCTAGCAGAGGGCCCCTTTTAATTGCCAGTGGGCTTTTGAAAAGCTGAACGTTCAGTTAGTTGGTTTAGTTGGAGCGTGGCTGGCAGGGTTTGAAAGTGAAGGTAAATGTAAATTGAAATTGTCCCCTCAGTGAGGACAGACTTAAGTAAAATGGAATGCATGGTTCTCCTCCAGATAGTAGGGTCAGACTTTGCCTTCCTTTTTTGGAAAGGGAAAGAAAAAACCTAACCTCTGGTTCATGATTTGATAAATCCAGAGAGGATGGTGTTGCTCATTGTTCAGCAGTGTGCTTGGCTTAGTGTATTTTTGATATCTGCAATAAAGAAGGGAGTGAGGAGTTTGATATTGAGGCTGTTTTGATCTAGCCAGTGTTGATGCTTACCTCGGGGAGTTACTTTACCAAGCCTGTTTTTTTCTTAAATCTCTGCCCATTTCTTTGGGTGACTGGTTTCAGTCTCTGTCTCCTGTTTCCTCACTGGGGTCGTCTTGTCTAATTCTAACTTCCTTCTTCTTGGGCCTACCCGTCCATGGAAACCTTGTGCTGGTGGTTGTCCTGTGGTGCGAGGCTTGGCTAGGTGGTTTTCCTGGGCAGCTAAGATGCATGCTGGAGCCTTCCCCCTCACAGCCTCGTGAGCCAGTTCTTGAGCACACCCCATGCTGCACTTCTCTGATTGCTTTTTCTCGACTTTGAGGTTTTTCTTCTTTGATTCTTGCTTCCTTTGCCTTCCTATTTTCAAACTGCATTTGAAGTGTTGGTTGCATACACATGCCATGTATGTTGAGAGCTTTTCTCTGATGTTGCTTAGAGGTGTTTCTGGTTGTCTTCTTGAATGGCAGTGGCTGGAGTGTCTGCACTTCAGCAGTGCTTGCAGATGGCTACTATCATTGTGAGTCAAAGACTTTCCTGCCAGATTGTCTGAGTTCAGATCTTGGCTCTGTGACTTCTTAGCTGGGTGGTGCTGGAGGTAGACACTGAAGTCAGGTGATTCACCTTTGTGTGCCTTGGTTTTCCTAACTAAGCAGGGATGAGTGTCCACAGATTATAGTAGTAAACTCTTAGTTCGGTGCTTGGCATATAGTTTGTGCCCAAGTGTTGATTGTCCGTGGTCAAGCTGTAGCTGTTTTTCCAGTGCTTCTTACTGTGGGCAGTGCATACGATGAAGGGAAGTCATTCTGGTTTATGTTTTGGCTTCAGTCTTTTTCTCGTGTTGGAATAAATTTGGTGGTGTGTACTTTCCTCCTTCCTCATCCTCTTTCCCTAGGAAGGGAGGATGTAAATGTAGGTAGAACAACACGTGAGAAAAATGATAGAATGCCTTAAAGTCCTGGTTTCTGCTAAATCTTGATGCCAAGCCCGTTTTGTGTGACCATTTTGGACTGAACATACTGTGACTTTGTAGTCCAAGCAGCAGGTGACTGGTTCATAAACTAATCGTCAGAGAAAAAGTGTATTGTACTTGGAGATAGAGGGAGCTGGTTTGTGACTCACCTTGCTGCAAAAAATTATTACCGAGCTTTGAGACTTTGTTCAGAATACCCTAGTGTGGGTTACAATTAGCAATCCTAAGCCTTACATTTTTATCTTTAAACTTTAATAGTAAGAAGTAGTAGCCTCATTCATATTATCCAGTTTGTATATTGAGTCTGTGAGGTTTTATAGAAAATCTTCATTTTTAAAAATGTAAAACATCACTGTGACATGCGTGCTGCAAGTATCAGAAACCCTGGCAGCTGTCTTCAGCGGATGGACACGGATTGGCCCCTCTGCGGGATTGGCCTCTCTGCTGTGGAGGCTGCAGCAGGAGTGAGAACTTCAGTGGCTCTGTCCCCCTGTCTGCACCTCTCCCCCCTCTGTGTGCTCACACGCCTTGCCTTCATACTTGTTTCATTGTGTTGGCAGAATGACTTGGAGCTTGCATTCCAGAGCCACTCATTGAAGCTTCTGAGAGCCCGGAGCGACTTCTGCAATCTCTTGGCCATAATTTGAGTCACTTGTTCTGCCAGGGTATGGGGTTATGCAGGAGAGTTAGGACTGTTCCACCCCTTGAGCACATGTGGAGGGAGCTTCCCTCAGAACATGGCTGGCTCTCCAAACAAAAACTTGGGCTACTTTGAGGAGCAGGAGGACAAGGATTGGATGCGAGGCAGGCAACATAGTGACTGCTGTGGTTCTCCACTGGTTCCTGTCCTTTGTTCTGTGTATTAGGTGAAGATTAAGTAAATACATACTTAGCTAGAAGATAGTGCTTATTTTTGGATACTACTTTAGGGAGTTATTTTCTTGAAACAGTTGGGAAACGGTTATTTTGATTGTGACTTAGGTTGTTATGTTTCTAAAGAAACATTAATTTTTTTTTCTAGTGGTGGAATGGTTGATTTGGGCAAATTTGATTTTAATTAATTAATTTAGAGTTGAAGTTTCTGTCACCCATGCTGGAGTGCAATGGCATGATCACAGCTCACCAGAACCTCCCTCTCCTGGGCTCAGGTGATCCTTCTGCCTCAGCCTCTGGAGTAGGTGGGACTA